ACGCCAGGTCGTCGACGCGCGAGGGGGCGAGCACGTCGCTCCAGCCGCGGCGTCACGCGGCTTTCGCCCGAGGGCGACGCTCCCGCCTCGGCGCGGCGAGAACAGTCAACCCGCATCTTTCGGATGCGCGGCAGGGATGCAGGGGCCTTGGAAGGCCATGTGACCCTTTTTTCGAACGAGGCCGGCCAACGAAAGTCGCCAAGAAGGGGCCGAGGGGGCAAGGATGCCAAGGGCACCCGTGCGAAGGCTGCCCATCCTGACTGTGCGGGTTGACGGCACCTGCCATTCGCCAAAAAAACTTCTGAAACCCCGCGCGAGCGGGCGACCTGTCCACGTCGTGCATTTCTACTCGCACTCATCCCGCATTGTGCTCGCTTCTAATTGTTCCTGGCCCTGGTGGCCAGGAAGAGGCTCAGGATAGAATAACTAGAGTGGAAAGGATCTTGGCCCCCCAAAAAAATCAAAGGACGCTCGAAGAATTAGCAATGGGGGCCTTGACCTAAGGAACCCTAAATAAGAAACGAGGCCCCTTTTTTTCCATACGGTAAACTTCGATTTCCCACCGAAAACATAAGGAAAACCTGAGGCAAGCTGTGAAACACTTCAGGAACGCGGAGCCCCTCCCCGACCGAAAGGGTTCCTTCTTCAGGGCCCCGACTGTAGCAATGAGCAGTGTGCCGCCCTTCGCCCAGGAGCTCCGTGCAACATCACTGGGCTTGGGCGTGGCGCTGCCGCGCGGGGCGCGGGGCGCACCCGTCGATCTCGCCGAGAGCTCGCGCGGCAGCGGCCGCGGGGGGCCGCGCGCGAGCGCTGCGACACGCCGCCCTCGCCGAGAGCACGGCGCAGAGTACCGAACGAGCAACACGCACCCATACCCAGAGAGGGGGGTCGTTGGGAGGAGGACTGGCTATGGGTACAGTCGAGGCGTTGACCTGAGGAACCTTAAATAAGGAACGAGGCGCCTTTTTTCCATAAGTTAAACTTCGATTTGCGATCGAAAACATAAGGAAAACCTGAGGCAAGCTGTGAAACACTTAAGGAACGCGGAGCCCCTCCCCAACGAAAAGGGTTCCTTCTTCAGGGCCCCGACTGTAGGGGGGTCGTTGGGAGGAGGACTGGCTGTGGGTATGGGTGCGGGTTGTCGGACCCTGGGGAACGCTCCCGCTCGGAGCGGGGACCCCCAGCCGACAGCACGCACCCGCAGCCCTCTCCGGTCCCCCTTATGGGTATGGGTGTGTGTTGCTGGTTCGTCACAGACTGCGCGCGGGATTGGCAGTGCCGTCTTCGGCGCGTCGCGTGCCTCGTCTTCTGAACGCTCACTGCAGGACCGCCCGAGAGACGGCCAAGCTACACTGCGCCCCCGCCGCAACGGCGCGCGAGGATCCTCTGAAGTTCCGCTGCCGCCGCTGCGCGACCGCCGCACAGCTGCCCCTTCGCCAAACCGTCGGAAGCGGGACCGCGCGCGAGCGTCTGGCGCTCGCTGGGTCGGAATACGTTCAAACCCCAATACCAAGCTTTGCCACAGTGGAGTATTCTGTTATCGAAGAAAGGGTTCCCCCTCTTCCCCCCCCCCCCTTGGGTCTGGGCAGCGGGTTTCGCGAGGCGTTGGAGCGTCCGAGATGGCTCCATATTGCCCCAGGATGGCCCAAGAAACCCCCAACTGACCTTCAATGTGGAACAATATGGTGCATGTCGCTCAATATGCGCCCAGGCAGGCTCCAAGAGGCCCCAAGACCGCTCCAAGACGGCCCCAAGTAGCCGCGGAGCCCTACCAAGGACGTCCCCGAGAGGCCACACTCCTGCCAGCACCAGAGTAAACGCATGATGTTGGCCTTGTCGCATTTTCGCTTGAGATGGGCTCCTGAGGCCTCCAGGTACATCCCAGACGATCCATGACCGCCCCGACAGGGCTCCAAGATGGCCCTAAGAGGGCCTAAAGGGTCCCGAAGAGCTCCCCAAGAGAAGTCCAAGAGGCAGCTTTTCGGGCTCCCGGAGGGCGAGGCTAACTGACGACCGCCACTCCTTTGGCCGATGCCCTCCAAGATGGCCCGACATGCACTTAGTAGGGCTCCAGGAGCCTCAGGAGAGCCTCGGACGCCTCCAACCTGGCACCAGGCGGCCCCCGAGATGGCCCACGCACGCTCCCACGAGGCCCCCACGTCGAAACACCCGGGAAGGCTCCCCGGGTGGCCGACTCCTGGGCCCGACCAGGCTGATCCCTGGCTTCGCTTCGAGGGCTGCTCCCCCTCGTGGTTCCACTGCATCTTGCGCCGGCGGCTGGGCCGAGGGTGACTGCTGCAGCGATCAGGTATCAGGGGGGGGCGCACGAGATGCCAATTCGGGCCGCAATGCACGCAGGCGGAGGAGCCCCCGGCGCGGCAGGGAGAGGAGTTATTCCACTGCGCACGCGCTCTTCGTGTCCGCACCCCGGAGTGTCTTGCCAGTTCGTCGGAGGTACACGCAGGCCTGGTGGAAGGCCCTCAGTGGAAGATGACGACGCCGACGCCGGCGCAGACGACGACGACGACGACGAGGAGACGTCAAGGGGGAGAGGAGGTGAGATGACGAAGAGCAGGACAAGGTCAGTCAGGATCGAATCGGGGAACCAGGTCGAATCGGAACGTGCGTCGGATCGGGCTCCATCGGTACAGAGTCGAAATCGAATCAGGTCGGCTGCGCCCAGATGCACAACAACGCCACGCAAACATCGGGCAACATCGGACCGTCAAAATGTCTGAATCGAATCGGATCGGACCGGTCGGAACAGATGTCGGATCGGACAGGCCAGAGCGAAGTGGATCCTGGCAGGAGGAAGAGTCGGAGCAGGGCGAGTTGAGGCACTGCCAGCTCGAAATCGGTCCCTGGACCCATCCCGGTGTCCAAACGCGGCGGCGTCCAGCCGTTGCGGCGAGGGACCCCCCCGAAGGCCAACTGCCGTTGTCTCAACTCGCCCTCCTTTGAGAGGAGGAGGGCGGACGGGGAGCGAGGAGGGAACGGAGAGTTTTGTCACCAGCGTGATGCTTGCATGTCTACTCATGCAGGGAGAAAGGCTCGACCTGGACGGTTGAGAACTTGGGGTGCTTACACCTGCAAATCATTATCCAGGACTGCAGTGATCGTTTGGACTGGAGGAGGCCTTGGAAATCCTTGCCAATCTTCCTGACCTGACCCCCAGGCGTGCGCGAGAAGCACTTGCTGCAAGCAGAAGGCAAAGAACCATCACTGCTTGAAAAGCCGGTGAACTTATGACCGTGACGGGCAACGGCTAAGATCCGCTCTGGTGGGGAACCTTGACTGTCACTGCAAGAAGGTTTCTGCTACCTCCTACTCGCTGCCAAGCGCACGTGACACCTCAAACCACTGCGGCAACACAACAATCGCGGTTGGCACAGAACCACGCGGGGAACCTCGTTCAGGTTTAGACGGGGCCAACCTGGAAATCATCTGGCAGAACAGACGAATGACGACACGCAAGGTGGCCACCACATCTGGGATCCTGTCTAGCTCGGTCAGTGACGGTCTGGGGTGGAGATGAGTTGCTGTTCCTGCGGGCCTTGCCAGCGGCGTCATGTATGCCGAGGTTGACTGCTGCCTGCGCGGAGCTGGCGCCGCCGTAGCCGCCGATAAACTGGATCCAGTTCTTACCCATCCTCGCAATGCAAGCTACAACTCCTGCTTTGTCCTCGGCGGTTAAGCAGCGCATGCCTGTTTGGATGGCCTGCGTGACAAACGACATGCATATGTGGCTGTCGTGTCTGACGATGATCTCTCGTCGGACCAATGAGAAACCATAAACGCATGTGTGAATGTCGAGCCCGAAAGATCGAGGCGCATGACGAGCTCGTCTAGGGATGGCGTAGATGAGTACAAGTGACGCTGCCATGGAACATCCAACAACCACACCACTGACCGAGTATAACGGGCCCGTAGAGGTCGAAGCGACAATGATGAACTTAGTGTGCCGATCTGCGGACATGAATCCACGGGGAACTTGCTCGGGGGAACCAAGCTGCTGCGCGCGTTGGTATCGGAAGTCGAACGCGTGCCTTCGCCGACCCTGCGCGGGCTCCCGCAGTGCTGCAGCGGCTGCATGTGCTGCGTGAACTCCCAGCTCGGTGCGAAGGCTCGGCCTCCGTACAACACCACTGGGCGCCGTTGAAAGATGCCGCTGCTGCGTGGGATCGCCCCCCCCCCCCCCGAAAAAAGCAACGCCGACCAGCCATAACTGGGGGAGCTGTGGTCCTTACCCCCCCTGGGAAAGGCCATCGCATCGCCGATCTCTCGAGAGGGGCGTCGAAATCGCTGGGTCCCCCAGGGGGGTAAGGACCACAGCTCCCCCCCCTTCCCCTGCCCCCTCAACCTCCTCCCTCCTCCCTCTCCTCCTCCTCCTCTCCTCATCTCCTCCTCCTCCTCCTCCTCCTCCTCCTCCTCCTCCTCCTCCTCCTCCTCCTCCTCCTCCCCCTTGTTCCCCGAAAAAAGCAACGATGGCAACTGCCGAATGCAAGCCGTCCCCGCAGAACGCCTCGCCCACCACGGTGGCTGCTGGTCGGCCGGCCGCCGCAAGCTGGCTTGGAAAGACAAGGGCAGGCAGCTCGGCGCGCAGTTGGCGCAGTTGGCGCAAGCCACTTGACTCGCCGACGCGACCCGTTCTGAAGCACACGTCGGCAAGCGTGAAACCAAAATGGTGCTTGCAAGAGCGCGTTTCTTGATTTTCGGCGGTAAGCGGTAATGGGCATCATAGGCGGGGGGAAGTGCCAAGGAGGGGGTATAACGTATAGTGTAACGCCTCCCCCCCGCCGTGCGCACGGCGGCATTGCCCGGAGCGCACTGGGGGGGGAGGGGCGTTACGTTACAGGGGGCGGGGGCTGTGATGCCCATCATGCCCCAAGCAATCACAAGAGAAACGCTCCAACAAAAAACGCCTTGAGCCAAAGTGGCCACGGAAGGGGGGGGGCGGCGAAGAGGCCAGCGAAGGACGGAGCGAAGGCCGAGCCGCCGGCATTCTGGTGCATGCTCACGGGCACGTGCTCCACGCGCTCGACCTCCTGCACCTGCGCGGCGCCCCCCGTGCTGGACGGACGGGGGGGCGCGCTCTCCCGCGAGCGGTGGCCTTGGCCCAGCGCAGCGCCACGAGCAGCTGCGCACCGCGGCGGCGCGCGCGCGCGGGGCTCGGAGCTCGACGTCCTCGGGCGGCTTCGACGGTCCTCGGCAGTCTTCCGACCCCCGCCTGCTGTCTGGCAGCTGCGCCCGGCCGAGAGCACTCCAGGGGTGCTTACGTACATAGAGAGCACCATCATATGTTTCGCGATATCGGCCGTTACTGGCCCCAGCTCCCCCCCCCCGCCCCACCCTCACAACGTCACGACTCGCGCCGGCGCCGTCTGGGAAGGCTCTGGAATGCCAAGGAAGCTCGAGTAGCAGATACCACTCGGGATCCGCGATGGCAGAGCGCGCAACATGCTATGGATATGTCAGGTTCTACGGTTGGAAGCTACGGGGTAGCTAAGCGCAGCGTAGGGGACGGCAGAAAATACAATATGGTGTTGTTCCATCCCTGGTCGGTCCTCCCCTGTCCCCTCCTGCTCTCCCTCTTGTTCCTGTCGTCGTCGTCGTCCTCCTCCTCGTCCTCGCTGCAGTGTACGGCGCTTCGAACAAGGACAGACGAGAGAGAGAGAGAGAGGTAGTCGAGAGGAGGTCGGGAGCGGCCAAGGGTGGGGTGTCCAAGAGGGGGGCGTGCAAATCATGACCGGCGGCATGTGCGCGGCCCGGCGGGGGGGCCAGGGACACAATGAAATAAGAAGAGGCGCCATGAAATCTGAAGAAATATCATGGCCGCCGCCATGAAATCCACCCCCCCCCTAGTCATCACCCCCCTCTTTGCCGCCTCCGACTCCGAGCGGCCGCAGGGGCGCCGTTTTTTTCTGGGGCCCGGGGATCGGAGGTGCTGCCGGGACGCCCCGCCGCGGCCTTCTGCTCAGGTCGGGCGTGTCCCCCCCCCCCCCTAGTCATCACCCCCCTCTTTTCCGCCCCCGAGGAGGGAGGGGCGAGGCAGAGGCGGGACCGGGCCGGAGCGACCTGTTCGACTACGCCTCTGTTACCGATCCGTGTTCTGGGCGCCCCTGGGCCCGAGGGGGGGGTTCCAGGCCTCGTCGTGGTCGTCGTCCTCCCTTCCTCCCCCTCCCCCTCCCCCCCGCCCCCGCCCCCTCCTCCTCCTCCTCCTCCTCCTCCTCCTCCTCCTCCCCTCCTCCTCCTCCTCCTCTCTCCTCCCTCCTCCTCCTCCTCCTCCTCCTCCTCCCCTCCTCCTCCTCCTCCTCCTCCTCCTCCTCCCTCCTCCTCCTCCTCCTCCTCCTCTCCTCCTCCTCCTCCTCCCCCTCCTCCTCCCCCTCCTCCTCCTCCTCCTCCCTCCTCCTCCTCCTCCTCCTCCTCCTCCTCCTCCTCCTCCTCCTCCTCCTCCTCCTCCTCCTCCTCCTCCATCCTCTCCTCCTCTCCTCCTCCTCCTCCTCCTCCTCGCCTGTCGTTCTCTCCTTCCTCTTCCTCGTGTCTTGGGCTCCCCACGTGCTTGCGTTGCGAGCCGCCTCGCTCCAAAACAGCGTGCGCACCGCATCGCTGCGGCGCACCGGGGGCGTGCGGACTGGCGCAGGCCCGAAGGATACACGTGGGCCGCTTCAAGTTCAACCTTACCAACGGTGCAATGGGTCTTTTTCTCTGAATGATCGGACTACCATCGAGAATCTCGGACTACCCTCGAGAATCTCGGTCTACAAACGAGAATCTCTCTAAATGATCGGCCACCATCGAGGATCTCGGACTGGGTCTCCCGAGCAACTCGGGCGGCTGGAAACGCGCTGTCGGGGCCGCCACATACGCAGCATGCGGAGGCCAGGCCTGGGCGCCCCCGGGCCCGAGGGGGGGGGGTCCAGGCCTCGTCGTGGTCGTCGTCCTCCCTTCCTCCCCCTCCCCCTCCCCTCCCCCCCCTCCTCCTCCTCTCCTCCTCCTCCTCTCCTCCTCCTCCTCCTCCTCCTCCTCCTCCTCCTCCTCCTCCTCCTCCTCCTCCTCCCTACTCCTACTCCTACTCCTCCTCCTCCTCCTCCTCCTCCATCTCCCCTCCTCCCCCCCCCCCGCCTGTCGTTCTCCCTTCCTCTTCCTCGTCTTCCTCCTCCGGCTCCCCACGTGCTTGCGTTGCGAGCCGCCTCGCTCCAGAGCAGCGTGCGCACCGCATCGCTGCGGCGCACCGGGGGCGAGCGGACTGGCGCAGGCCCGGATACGGGGGCGACCGGGGGCGAGGATACACGTGGGCCGCTTCAAGTTCAACCTTACCAACGGTGCCAATGGGTCTTTTTCTCTGAATGATCGGACTACCATCGAGAATCTCGGACTACCATCGAGAATCTCGGACTACAATCGAGAATCTCTCGAAATGATCGGCCACCATCGAGGAACTCGGATCTGGGTCTCCCGAGCAACTCGGGCGGCTGGAAACGCGCTGTCGGGGCCGCCACATGCGCAGCACGCGGAGGCCGGTGGCCGGATGCACGTGCGGATGGCCTGCACCTTTTTAGCCACACGGGGGCCGAGCCTTGGAAACAAACATGCGGCACAATGTGTGTGTATCCAGCTCTCGCCGAGGCTGGCCACGACCTGCGTGCACCTGCGGTGGACAAACCTCCCTTGAATAAACCTCCCTTTAGCGAAAACGGCCTAGGACCGAAACCGACGGACCTAGACCCGCATGAATAACGGCCGCGACGCCCTCTCTCGAACCGAAAACGGCCAATTCACGAATCGACGTGTCAGGGTAGGAGGTCTATCCGCCTCCGAAAGACAGCGAGGCCGGAATCCAGGTGGTGAGCCGCCGGGTGCAGGCAGGCAGCGCGTGCCCCTGCGAGAAGCACAAGTGGCCCGCGAGCACCGCGCCGCACTTGGCCAGAACACGGACCACGACGAGGGCAGCGATGCGGCCGGACTCGATCGGACAGGCTACGCGAGAGGACACAGGGCCCTTCCGAGGGCCCTAATTATTGCCACAGGAGTGCAGGACGCATGGGTCGCGAGACGCAGGACACAAGGGTGCCCTTGCTTTGGCAGGGTCGACGTACTGATCCGGGCCGGCTGCAGCAGGAGGATGGGGAGGAAGACGACGACGGGGCCATTCCCCGTCTCGGACCCAGGACCGCCCAGACTCCCCCGAGAGCACGCGCCGACAGCAGACATGCAGTCAAACAGGTCGTTCCGCCCTGGCCCCGCCTCCCTCGCCCCTCTCCTCCTCTCGGGTCGGGCGAAAGGGTGGGATACCAAAGGGGGGGTTTGAGAATCAGCTCACGTAGCTGATTTTCCCGGCACCTCCCGGCGCCGGGAGGCGCCCATGTATCGAGGAATGGGCCCCTCGGTGAGGCCGAAACCAGCTGCATGTAGCAAATGTCGTAACCCCCCCTTTCCCAGTCACCCCCTTTCGCCCAGCCCGATCCTCCCACCTTCCGTCTTTGTGGGAAGCAACTTGCAATCTAATGAAGGAGGCGAGGACGACGAGAGGAATAACGCAACGACGACGATGACGACGACGACGACGACGACGACGACCACGACGACAACGGGGGGGGAAGGAGAAGGAGGAGTCCTCTTGAATCGCAGCAAGCTCGATAAGAGGAGAACTCTGAAATCCCTCACACCGAACATCTCACTATGGGGCCCTCGCGGGGCCCTCTCGGGGCCCGATCGGGGAGGCCCTCCGGGAGCGTTCTGGAAGCCTCTCCTTGGGGCTGTCTCAGACGGCTCCTGGGCTGCCTGGGACTCCTCAAAGCTGCCTTGGGGATGACTCGGGGCCGCCTTGGGCGGCCTCGAGGAGAAGGGGGAGGAGAAGCAGGACGAGGATGAGGAGGAGGTGGAGGACGAGGAGGAGGAGGAAGAGGAGGAGGAGGAGGAGGACGAGGAGGAGGAGGATGGCTGCAGGGAGGGGGAGAGGGAGGAGGAGGAGGAGGAGGAGGAAGAGGAGGAGGAGGAGGACAGCCGCTGTCGGAGGTGACTGCGGGCCCGGCCTCTGGGCCGCGCGTTGGACACCGAGGTCCCCTCCCCGCGGGCCCGCGGCCCGGGGCCCCCCTGGCAGATGTCCACCTTCAGCTGCAAAACGGAGACGGCCTCACAACGGCTGCCTCATCCCCAACTTCCAGTGCGTACTCCAGATTTCATAATAAAGGGAGGGGGGTCTCATTTCGGGGGGGGGGTCTCTTCCAATCTATCTTGGAGGGCCTGGGGGGGTCTGGGGACGATGTTTTGGAGGGTTCTCCCACGGGGGGGGGGGTCTGAAATGGCTTGTCTTGGAGGGTCCAGACCCCCTCCCTTTTGTTACGAACTCTGGAGTACTGCTCGTTGGCACCAGCACCCGTCCACCATCCAGTCGACTGCAATCCCCGCGTGGAGGTGGGATCGAGGCGCGCAGTGCCAATCGTGCAGGCGCCTGTGTGATCGGGGTCTCGACGTACTTGTCGACGTAGTACTCCTGCACGGGGGGCCAGCAGGTAACTGACAGCGCATGGCGAGAGCAGCGCAGCGGAAGACCCGGGAAATAAGTCCTCCCAGAGGGCCGGAAGCCAGTCAAACAGGCAAATATGCACGGCGCGTATTCTCCCAAACAGACGGAAACGCGATGTCCTGTATGTAGGTCTGCGGGACAAACTGCTCCACCTCCCGGACGCGGTACTCGATCTCGGGGACCTCAACAGGGCTTGGGAACGGAAGCGAGACCTGCAAAACGGGAGAGGCCGACCCAGCACGGATGGTCACCGTCGCCAAATAGGAGAGAGCGCGCCACGCGAAGAGAAGACAGCGCCAGATGTGGGAGGGTCCTCAGCTACCCCCCCCCCTGGCCCTCCCCTGTGAGAACCGCCCCCCTTCCCCCCTCCCCCCCCCACTCCCCCCCCCTTTCTTCGTGCTCTGGCGGGAGCTACCCCCCCGCCTCTCCGCGGCACCCCTGCTGAAGGCCCTCCCTCCCGCCCATCCCCCCCGCCTTCCCCCTGCGACCCCTGCAAGCCAATCCACCCCCTCCCTTTCGCCTCCCCGGGTGGTAGCCCCCCCCTCCCTTTTGTTTTCGCTTCATGCGAGCTACCACCCACACACCCGCCTTGAGCTCCCCCAGCCGGAAGCCGACCCCCCCTCTTTCCCCTTTCCCCCGCAGCCTCTGCAAGCCCCCCATCCCCCTGGACCTCCACAACCAAAACCCCCCCCCCCCTCTTTTCCCGAATTCTGGAAGTTCCCCTCCCCTCCTTCTCTTTGGCACCTCTGCCAGGAGCCCCCCCTTCCCCCTATTCCCCTTGAGCGCCTGCAGATTACCTCCCCCCCTTCACCTCCCCAGTCGGAAGCCCCCCCCCCATCCTCCCCCGCGACGACGACGACGACGCCAGCAGACGACGAAGACGACGACGACGACGACGACGACGACGACGACGACGACGACGACGACGACGGGCGACGGCGACTGCGATGGCGACGGCCTCGGCCGACGACGACGACGCTGGCCACGAGGACGACGAGGACAATCACGACGACGACGACGACGCTGGCCGAAGACGAAGACGTGACGACAAAGACGCTGGCCGACGACGGCGAAAATGACTGCAATGGCGACGGCGCCCGGCCGAAGACGCCAGCGAAGACGACGACGATGGCGCTGGCCGACGACGCCGGTCGACGACGGCAACGGAAACGACGAGGACGCCGGCCGACGACGGCAACGAGGACGCTGGCCGACGACGGAGACGACGACGGCGACGACGACGACGACGACGACGACGACGACGACGACCGACGACGGCCGACGACCGACGTCGACGACGACGACGACGACGACGGCGACGACGACGACGACGACGACGACGAACTGTCCCCCCTCCCTGTGGACCTCTCCAGCCCGAAGCCCAACCCCCTTCCCCCCAACTCGTACGCTCCATCTCTGGGCTTCTTGGTAATTCAGATCTTCATGGATCCCACCGGATTCTCAAGGAGCCGTCGGGATTCTCATGAAATCGTTCGTGTGTCCTCGATCGTCGACTGTGCTCGTCGCGTGGCGCCGCAGAGGGCAGGAACACAAAGGCGAATCTGCCCATCATACGGCAAACCTGGGACGTGGCAGCGCAGGGGGGGAGGAAATGTCAATTTCTCTGCTACTCGTCACACAGCCACACCTGGGATGCTGGAAGAAATGCTATCTCAATATTTCCCCCCCGTGGCAACACTGTAGCCGGAAACCCGACTATTCGACTTCACTCGTTACGTGGCAACGCAGGGCGGGGCGGCGGAACCACATGGCACGCTGCTCTACCCAACACATGGGTAAGCAGGAACCAGGCGGCCTGCCAGACAGATTCGAAATCCGGGAGGTCCTAACCTAAGAAATCCGAAGAGCCCTCTTGGAATCGTTTGGAAAAGGCTGGGCCCTGTGTTACTGCACTCGTCGTGTAGCAACGCATGAGAGGGCGCAATCCAATTAGATCCTGCTCTATACGTCACGTGGTAACGTCGGGAAGGCGAACACATTTCATTAGATTGGGCTCTCTCCGTGGCAACGCAAGGGTCCGGAACAAATGCAGGGGCAACCTTCGTCAGGTGGCAACGCAGGGAGGCGACACAGAACGAGATGTTCTCGACTCGTTCAGTGGAAGCCCGCCAGCCCGCCCGCGCGCCCGCCCGCTTTCCCGCTCGCGCGACCGCCCGCCCGCCCGCCCGCGTGCAGGGGGCCACATGCGAACCCCACCCCTCCCCCCCACGATTTCTGAGGAGGGTGGGGTTCACTTCGCTCGCGAGCTCCCGAACGAGGTGAATCCCACCCTCCCCCCCAGAAATCGTGGGGGGTAGGGGTAGGGTTCGCATGTGGCCCCCTAGCGTGGCCGCCCGCCCGCACCCCCGCCCGCTCGCCCGCCCGCTCGCCTGCGCGACCGCCCGCCCGCCCGCGCAACCTCCCGCCCGCCCGTGCCGCCCGCGCGCCCGCCCATCGACTCTGCCGCTCGCGCCGCCCGCCCGTGCCGCCCGCGCCGCCCGCCCGCGCCGCCGGCGCCGTGCGCGCCCGCGTGCGCGTGCGCCCGCGCGGCCCGCCCGAGATCTTCAGCGAATCCTCGGAGATCCAAGAGAAAATCAATGACATCTGCCGAAAGCCTTCGATCGTGGACTATACGCTACACTCGTCGCGTGGCGCCGCCAAACGCCGCACAGGTACCATCCTGCAGTATCCGTCCCGCGGCAACGCCTGGGGGGCGAAATGCAATGCTATTCGATTCGCCACGTGGCAACGCACGGGGGCGAAGGTAATCACATTTCTACTGTGCCCCCAAGAGTGGTGACGCAGGTCTCCCCGTCACACGGCAGGGCGGAGGGCAAAGGAGGCGAAACGACTCGTGTTCTTCTCCGCTCGCCGACGACGACGACGCAGCCACGATGACGACGACGAGCCACACCCCCATATGGACCCGCCCCCCCCGCACCTCACTGCGCCAGTCACCCCATCGAATTCTACAGGCTCCGTCGGAATGTGTACTAAATCAATCGGATTTCCTCGATGGTCGACTGAACTCGTCGCGTGGCGCCGCAGAGGGCGGGAGCAAATGAACGGTTGCTCTGATCATCGCGTGGCAACCCAGGGGCGTGGCAGCGCAGGGAGCGAACAACGTACCATTATGCGCTTCTCGTACAAGTGGAAACGCAGAGAGCGGAAACAACTAGTACGCATGATTGTTCTGCAATGGCGTCAACGCACGACGACAATGACGACGACGATGATCGACGATGGCGGCGACGACGAGAGCGACAACGACGACGACGAGAAACACGACGACGAAGACAACAACGACGACGACGAACATGACGACGAACACCACGAGTGCAATCACGACGACAACGACGACGACGACGACGAGGACGACTATCGACGACAGCGGCGACGGCGAGAGCGACATCGACAACGACGACGACTAAGACAACAACAACGACGACGATGACGACGATCACAACGAACACAACGACGAGGACGACGACGACGAGAACGACGGCAACGATGACGAGACTTCGTGCAAATCCACAAAAGGGCGGGGGCAACTTGTAAAGCCCCCCCTCTTCAGAAGGTCAGCCCAGGCTAACCCCCAGCCCCGAAAAGGGAGGGAGGGGGGGGAGCTGTGGAAGCACCCCCCCATGACTGGCGACCCCCTGCTTCGCAAAGGGGAGGAAGGCAGCTTCTGAAGCACCCCCTGTGAAAGGTAAGCCCGCGCTTACCCTGGAAGCGTAAAGGGGGGGCTTCTAGCTTCCGAAGCCCCCTCCCTTTGCAGCAAGCGGGCAGGGGAGTAGCTTCCGAAGCCCCCGCGCCCTTTTGCAAAGGGCAGCCCGGGCTTACCCCGGCGTTGAAAATGAAGGAGGGGGGGAAGCTTCGGAAGCCCCCCTGCCCTTTCAAAGGCCGGCCCCCTTCCCTGGGGAGCGGGGGTGGGGTACCTTTGAACCACCCCCCTTGTGGAAGAAGGGGGGGGTAGCTTGAAGCTGTGATCCACCTTTTGTTCTTCGTGTCTCCCGCGGCACGCTCTTTCTCAGGTAAGAAAGGTCAACGCCTGTCACGGGGCGGCTAGAAAGTTTCTACTCCGACAGTGAACCGTCGGGGTTAAAACTTCCCAGCCGCCTTGGGCAGGCGTCCCCGACAGCGGAAACATTGGACATTGGGCAGGCGTCACCGACAGCGGAAACCTTTACCTTATACCGTTCCTCGCTCGCTGCAAGACGCCCCTGGTTGAAGAACTCCGCCCAGAAGGCTGCAGTAGTCACGGGCGCTTGGATGAGAACCCCCCCCCGACACGTCGAATTCCTCCCACCCACATTCCAAGCACCCGGCGAACTGGATCCCCACCCACGGCTGCTCGAACAGACCCGCCCCCCCCATCCCCCCCCCACACGCACACACAGACAGACACAACCGCACACGCACACACACACGGACACACAGGCACACACACTGACACACACAGACACACACACACAGAGACACTCACAGACACACAGACCCACACACACACACACAGACACACACAGACACACAAACACACACACACACACCGACACACAGACTCACAGACACACACACAAACATACAAATACGCAAACACACAAACCCACAAACACACAAGCACACAAGCACACACAAACACACAATACACAAGCAACATCACACAAACACACAAACCCACTAACCCACGAAAACACAGACAGACAAGCAAACAGACACACAGACACACAGATACGCAAACACACACACAAACACACAACACGCACAAACACACGAACACACAAACGAACAAAACGCACAAATACACAGAGACACAACGACACAAATACAGAACCACACAAACACGCAAACGCACAAACACACAAAGACGACTACCAACACACACATACACACATCACACACACACACCGCACACACCACACAGACCTCACACCACACACACACCACGCACACACCACACACACCACACACCACACAGACACACACAGAGACACACACACAGACACACACAGACACACACACACAGACACACGCACAGGCACACACAGACACACAGACATACACACAGACACAAACACAGACACACACACACAGACACACACACAGACACACACAGACACACAGACACACAGACACAGACACACAGACACACAGACACACACAAAGACACACAGACACAGAC